ACTACTAACACTCACACGCACTCACATCTCAAAACTCGCTCTCTCTCTCTCTCTCTCTCTCTCTCTCTCGTTCTCGTGCCGTCACTCCTAAAACTTCCCCCTCTTCCTAAACAACCAAATGTCATGTTGTTGTCGACATGGTGCATTTTTCCACCAAAAGGAACGGGCTGTTTTTTGTTTTTTTTTATTTTTGGTCATAAGCAGAGAGTGCTTGCTAGCGTTGTCCTTAGACAGTAAACGTGACTCTGGTTTTATGTGACCTATCAGCATAATTTAAAAACTGGTATACTCACCATTCTTTTGTTGTTGCTTTGTCAGCTTGAAGAGGTCATGTGATTGGCTTACCACGACTACGTTATTGTTCCTCAGGCAAACAGCAGCACTCATGCGATGTTTTGCCCCCCTAGCTCCAGGTGTTGTGCCAAAAACAGTGCTGCCAACTCCTCAGTAAGTCGCTAGAAGTCGCTAAATGATGTCATCACCTAATTTGCATAATTGGTCATGCTTATGTAATTGTAACCACGCTGTAGGAGAGAGAAATAACATTGTGGAAGAGACATAAGTGAGTAGAAAACATCTAAATGCATTTAGAATATATTAATACTACTTAAATATAAATTTCTTTTAGCAATTATTTTTTTTAAATCGTCACAATTCCAACCCTCGTCTCTTATTTGCGCTTGGGCATCGACAAAATTGACCCAAACAGGCACTCTGGCATGAGTTACTTTTTTATGTGTGTAGGGGGTGTTTAAGTGAGAGTGGTAAGTTGAAACCCTTGTGATCTACAACGACAAGTTTCATGTACAAAATAGAACTCATCATTTACTCTTATTAAAGAGGAGCACATTGGAGAAGGTAAGTTGTATTCACAAAAAAATGTTTTTTGCTTGTCTGTCACGGTCTGGCTGGGGCAGACCGTATGTGTTGCAGAGGAGGACTCAAACGCAGACCAAAACGTGGTATGGGTTAACAAAACAAGCCGTTTATTGAGACTAACAATAAGGGTACAAAATAAAAGGGCATAGTAGACAACTAAACAAAAACCTAAACTGGGTGAACTAATAACAAAACATGAAAAACCTTAACCATAAACGAACTGACATGGGTACCTGGAAATGAGACATGGATGGGCAGTACAATGGGTGAAATACAACAGACGACCTGACAACGAATGACTGAAGGCACACGGACTAAATAGACACAGGAGGATAATAGGAAAGTGGCAACACATGGGAGAAACAGCGACACACATGAACATAACGACGTACACAATGGGAGAGTAAAACTGAACACGATGAACCAGAAACACCAGACCTCTTCACAATAAAACAGGAAACACAGTGAGATATAGACATGACAACCTGAACTGACAACATAAGCCACAGACATGAAATACATGGAAAAGCAGGGGAGACTTAACAATAGTGGAAACACGAGGGGGAAAATAACTGGAAACAACTAGGCATGATAACGATAAACTTAGGAAACCTGAAGGCTACATAACTAAACACAAAACGCTGGGTCAACAGACCCAGGATCATGACATTGTCAAAGTAAAATTTCTGCATATCAGGTAAATTGACTGTAATATTAAAACAAATGTATCTGTGTCTAAAATGATATATTATACATGTTGGTGGGTTTCTAAAATATAATATCATCTGAAGAAGTTTTCTAAAGATTAGCCTAAATTGCTAAGCTAGCCCGTTTTTTTCAAAATGGTGGCTATGGGGCAAAGTGAGCCAAAGGCTATGGGGTAAATTGAT